GGGATAGGGGGTTGTTGTGGGCAGGGGTAGGGGATAGGGGGTTGTTGTGGGCAGGGGTAGGGGATAGGGGGTTGTTGTGGGCAGGGGTAGGGGATAGGGGGGTGTTGTGGGCAGGGGTAGGGGATAGGGGGGTGTTGCGAGTTGCATTACTCACTGAAACTGCTATCATACGTCTTCTTAACTGTTGTTGATGTTGTTTTAAATTTTGCCGCTAATAATGTTATTGCTCTTTCCACACTTTCGTCGAGTCTCTTGGAAAGTATTAATTAAAAAGCTTAGAGGCCGTTGGATTCTGACTTTCCAAGATGTGTTTGCAATTGCTGGTTGTAGCATGTAGCTGAATGTCTCATTCATTATGCAGGCGAGCTATGCGCTTGTTTGCAGTTTTAAAAACTATCAAAACATCGATTACAGTACACAGGAGAAGCTTTCAGACCTCTCCAGGGGTTTTGAAAACCCTTTCGTACTTTGGGTTACAAAGTTTCCAATCACTCTATTTCAGGTGGTCGAGAAAACTAAAAAAAAAAAGATTTTAAGAGCATGCGTAATTAATCAGGAATTCAATCTCTTTCATGTAGCAATCTAGTTTTATTGATGAACGTTTACAGTGGATAGTTAGGAATGTCTTCTAATTTTTCTCTCTTCTCTCTCAATCGTTACCATAGTTACCACTTGCACGCTCAGGATTCATAATCGTTTTCGTCTTGCCATTTTTCTAAAAGAAAACACAAAAGAATACACATTGGAGCAAAATATAAACAAAATCATAGATTACAGCAATTTTGAATTGAGTGTTGAAAGTAATCCGGAATTCCTTTGATTTGACTTATCTTCGCACGGCGCATTGATGCAGAACACTGAGAAAACTGTTTTTGTTACTCGATGATAATGTAATCCCTGTTCTGATTGGTCACTTGGACTACTTGATTTTGCTTTTTCGACACTGACCCCATGGAAACTACTCTCACCTGCAATGATTACATTAATTGAAATTTTGCTTAGTATAGTTAAAGTCACGAATGGTCTTATTCGTGCATCTGATAGGTCGAGGGGGTGTGCCCTGATTTTCTAAACCAATCACAGGACAAAGTGGAGAAACCAACGCGATCGTGGATGACGGTCAACACTCAAACTTGGTTTGAATTAACTCACCGTTATTTCGTTTGTGCTGACGAGGTACTTCCCCGGCTCTTTCCAAGAAGTCATAGAATGTGTCTGCCTCTTGTTGGGTTTTCTCGTGCGGAATGATGTCCCGGCCTCCGCGAAGGATCGCCTCTCCTGGAGGTAAGAGTAACCCAGCCAATGCAACTACAAGGAGGACTGTTAGAAGAGTCTTCATACCGCTGGTTTGGTTGATGCTGCTTTATCTTTATGAATATAAAGAGTGTTTTGTAATGAGCAAATGCAGATCACTTCATTCGATTTCAAGCAGGTTTAACTCCAAGCACTTCACTCACTCATTCATTCACTTGCTTATTTGTCCAGACAATCATCCATTTATCCATCTATACATTTTGTTTTTCATTTTTCATCCTTTCATTCACTCAGTAACTCATTTGTGTATTTATCAATCGTTCCAGAATTCATCCATCTTTTCATTAATTCATTTACTTACTCATTTATTTATCTATCCAGACTTTCATCTTTATTAATAGCAAGGTAGATTTTCTCAATCTCTTTATTGATTTTTGGTATAATACTTCACTTATAATTCTATCCTCAAAAAATCAATTGATTTATTTTTGAAATATTGAATTAAAGTTATGAAATAATCGACAAGCTTAATCGTGATCTAGTAGTTCACAGCTTTTCAAAAGATCAAAAATGAAAGATTTTGCAATGTTTGATCAAAGCTGCTGTGACCGTCTAAACGAAGTTTTGTATCTCTCCATGTATCTATTCATTAATCCAACCACCTATCCTTTTATTTCTTCACATTTATATTCATTTATCTTCATTCATTCATTAATTCAAATATAAAATTATCCTCAGATATCTTTCTGTCCATTCTTTTGCCACAGCCAGGTAAACTGGATCGACTCCTTGCAGAAAATGTACTTCGCAAAATTTGTTAAAATCGTTTTCCAACAGCGTACTTCTACTCATAGTTACATGTAAGGCGTAAGAAGTCATCAAACCTCACTACAAAGCTACTGAGACTTGTAAAGCGATGTTCAGTGTGTGACGAAGTAACGGGTAGTTTATCATATAACTTACTCCAGAAATGAGGTCTTTCTGATTTGGATAAAACTGGGACAAGAAATAATTTTTTTTACCAAAATTCATGGCATTTTCCCCGAGAATTTCAGCAATAAAGAAACATACTCGTCAGTTTAAAGATAGAAATTGCTCTAAATGTGGTCTTAATGTAACTTTAAGTTAATCAAAAAGGAAAACAAAGGAACAAATGAAAGGAAAAAGAATTGTTCATGTGCAAAAAGAAGCTTTACCTCTTACCTTCTTTGAAACTGTTCCCGAAAGTGAATTTCAGTGGCTTGTTCACAAATGACAACTGTTCGACTTGTGATTTGGTTCCGCTTTTAAACAATTTGTATCCGTTATGTATCTTCCGCTCATCTGCTCACTTACGTTAAAGGATGGGAAGTTTCCGAAAATTAAGATATCAGCGCCTTACAAAAGAAACCTCACAATAAACTCTTTTTACAAAGCCGACTTGTCTAGTTAACAGTTATTTATTCATTGTCCGTTGAAAATTATGTTTTAGTGCCGTAGAATGAAAGACAATACAACTGCATGATAAACATATGTGTTATTTCCCTCGAAGGAACAAATTTAATTACGAGAGTACTTTTTCAAGATATTTTATCAAGCTATTTCCGAAAAACGCGAGACTGCCTAATCGTTTTAGCAAACAAGGTGATTGAGTACTTTTTTTTCTTCCTGTTCTTTCAGATAAGTCAGTTAAATCTACATACATGTAAGTATGACTTAACAAAGTAACAGCTTTGCTACACTATTATTGGTTGTTGGGAATATGCGAAGGTAAATATTTTCCTTCAAGAAATTTGAAAAAAAATTAATTTGTGCCTCTTTCATTCCGAAATTGATTTAGACTTTTCTTTAGTTTTTTTTTTTTTTTAATTTTTAACGAAATCTTAACTTTATCAGTATCTATTGCTTTAATTGGAATGAAGATACATCGCTATCAATCGCTAGATATCCATCTGAAGGGTACCCCAGTTTGATTGACGTAGTACACGTAGTAAACGTAGAATATTAAGGACCAATCTGGAGATTTTTGTATGGGAGGGGGTGGGCGGGGGGTCTAAACAAAGATTCGAGAAAAAAAAAAAAAAAACTTTTTTCTGTTTTATTTCTTTTTTCATTCTACTGGTTGCTTTTTTATTAATTTTTTAAAGTAAATAAGCCAGTAAATTTTAAGTACTTTAACTTAGTGGTAATATGCGACCTGTCTTTGGAAGAATTTTGGTTTCATACTTAGGTCTGATTAAGGGGAGAAGGGGGTGGGTTGGGGTGTGCACCTCACGGAATCTCCCCTGGCTCCTTCTGGCTCCTTCTGGCTCCTTCTGGCTCCTTCTAGCTCCTTCTGGCTCCTTCTGGATCCTTCTGGCTCCTTCTGGCTCCTCCTGGATCCTTCACAAAGCATAAATCAGTTTGGTTACAATGAATATATGAATTCCAAATATTTCATCAGTTTATTGATGTAAAAAGCTGCTTACAGGAGATCAATGACCCAAACAACCAACTGACTACGTAAATACTTTATCTCTTCAAAAAGTGTGATTTCTAGCTTCAAAGTTCTTTAGTTTATGAAACTTGATGTGACTAAAGACAAAAAGGGAGATTTTATGCATGATCTTCGTGTACCTTGACTTTCAGCTTTATGTAACAGGTAACGTATACTTGTTTCTTATGACAAAGAGAAAAGGAGTCGGGAGATATTGAAACAAAGAGGTGACAAAACACGTTAAAGTATTTCTGTGTGATTTTTAAGAACGACTTCAGATTGTCAGTTTATAAAAAGTCTCGTGAATGTTCATATGCGCGTTTAGTCAAATGCTGATGACACAAGTTACGTGAATTGGCCAGAATTTTTGCAACGGACACAAAACAGAATGTCAATCCGATGTAAGTTGCTCCCATTTCCATTCTCCCCTTACAGAATATTTCAGGTTTTCCCATCAGAAAAGAAATAATTTTCCAGTTTTGCGGCAAAGTTAACTCAGGTTGTACCTCTCTTCATAGATAAAAAACGCCAAGAAGAGGGGAGGGGGGGAGGGGATTTTAGGTGAGGATGATGGGAGGAGGACGGGAAGGGAGTGAGAATTGGGGGATGGGAGGGGGCCAAGAGAGGCAGATGAAGGAGGAGGGAGAGAAGAGTGACGAAAGAAAGAGGGAGGGGATGCGAAGAGGAANGGTGGGAGGGGGCCAAGAGAGGCAGATGAAGGAGGAGGGAGAGAAGAGTGACGAAAGAAAGAGGGAGGGGATGCGAAGAGGAACGGAAGGGAGGAGGGAACAGGGGGTGGGAGGGGGCCAAGAGAGGCAGGTGAAGGAGGAGGGAGTGAAGAGTGACGAAAGAAAGAGAGAGGGGATGCGAAGGGGAACGGATGGGAGAAGGGGGAGGGAAGGATAAGAGCGGGAGGAAAATGAAATTTGGAGAAAAGAAAAATGGATGAGAGGAAAGTGAACGGACGAAAGTAGCAAAAAGGATGGAAGTTGATAATCTTAGAAGGGAAAACGGCAAGAGAGAAGGAGGGAAGTATTAAAAACTGATGAATTATCAAGTCAGTATTTGCTTCTCAAGAGACCCGAAATTTTATTACGCATCACTACTTTCACATACTTTTACATCTTAGTCTGAGTCTACACAATTTTTCTACAGGACTATCAATCTAAGAACTACGTGTATACAGCGTTTGTCGTCGCCATCGTTGTGCAATGCATCATTGATTGGTCTTTTACCTCTTTTTCTCTGAATCGTCTTCGAAGAAAAAGAAAAAGAAAATTTATTCGCCTGAATTTTGATATCTCTTGGAAATAAGGGGGTTAAGTGGTTACATAGGATATTTTACTTGTGCGTTGATGACATGGTGGCCATGTGCGTCAAATCCCGTGAACCGTAAGGATATAAACGGAATACTTGGAATTTATCACAACTGGCGCTCGTCCCCTTTTTCCACCACGGGATGAGATTAAACCGACCAAGACCTCGTACCCACCCTTTGGTAAATACTTGGTAAAATAACTAATCATGTTTACTAAAAGATCTGTTTCCTTTTTCTTCTTTCTGTATGCCTATATTTCCTCTATATTAAAGTTATCCAGTGATTTCAGCACTATACCGAGTCAATTTCTCAGTTGCTAGTTCCCTTGATTCTCTCCTTGTCGGTCTACTTGATTAAGTATTAAGACAGAGAGAAGAAATTGCTTATTTATCAGTTATTTAACATACTTACATGAGGGCATGGCGCATTGACAAGTAATCATGGTCGAGTCACGGGCTTCTGTTTCAAACTCATAGCCACGCTGAGCCTTCTCTATCCCCAGACCTCTGCCGGCACGGAGGACAGCTTCTCCTTCTTCGACGAAAACTCCGGCAATGAGCATAAACACTAGAACTGTAAGGATAGCTTTGTTCATGATGAGGAAGGTTGATTTCTTGTCGGGTAGAAAGAAAATGAGACAAAGGTAGTGAGTTTCATTGTCTTGTATTTATTTATTGTAAAACTCTTGATGATGTAAAAACGCTGTAAAAGGCGAATATTATCGCCTTTTCCCCAAAATAATATTTTACCTTTGTGCACTGAGTTGTTCAATAAAGGGTCCGAGTGAATTGAAGAAATTACTACTTTAGGTTTCTTAATAATATATAATTCATTATCAATTAGTTTTCCCCAGTAAAGAAAATCTTTATTGAGTAAACCCACTTCACTACAAAAGTGCTTTATAGAGGGGCCCTCCTAAGCTATTCAAGCCTTTCCTTCTTCGTATTTGAGAATTTACTTCTCATGTGACGTATCGAATTGTAAGGGGTGGATTATCACATATGGGCCAAGGCTAAGCAAAGAGGTTATATGACGAACGAGATAGTTGTGAAAAGATGACTGTCGATTTTGTTGTTTGGAAACACTCTCGATTACCCTTTTTACTCCATAAAATTCATTAATTAGCAAGAGTGAGATCAAAGTTTGAAGTTGAAATTAAAAGATTGATCTTCTCATAGAAAAGGAAAGCTACTTTGTAACCCCAAGTCTTAACGTTCTGCTGAAACTGTTGACCGAGATGACTCAGTCTATAAAATTGAAGATGTATGTTACGACTCCGATCTGAAGACTCTCGTGGGTGAGCCTCGAATACAAATTATAAGATCTTACCTCGTTGGACATAAAACGTCTTCAAAGAGTGATTATGAAGTGAAGTGTGTGAAACAGGAGCCTCAGGACTCTATTTATAATCGCACAATGGCTCTTTTCAAAGAAGCGGATACAAGCATGGAGTGATTGATACAAGTTTCAGATAAGAAAAATGGAAAGGTTCAGTTTTGAAAAACAAAGCTCGTGACTTGTTTCCTTTCCTTATCATCAGCACGCAATGGTATGTCTCGCTATCAACATGGTGGATGAAAATCCTGACTAATTTTTACATATTATTTCAGACATCCTGCAGACGAGAGATC